CGACGCCGGGGCCGTCTACGCCGCCGCCCACCTGGGCGCCTCCTGAGGCGGCGTCCATCGGCGCGCGGAGGCGGAGCATTCCCTCGCAGAGGTTGACCTGCGCGCAGAGGGGCCCGGTGTGATCGTACTTCTGCGGGAGGGCGCTGCTGCTTGCGGAGCCAGGCTTGCTGCCGGGGGGGGGGGGGGGGGGCAGGCCGTGGCTGCCCAAATTGGGGCAAGAAGGGAAAGGGGGGGCGGCCCCCCCACCCCCCGAGGTCAGTCACGAGGCAGAGGCGGCCGACCACGTCGATGGACGGCGCAGCCGCCGCGACACGGACCGTCAGCCCGACGGGCCCTGCGACAGTGAGGGGCTCGGGCAGCCGCGCGCTCGAAAAGACGAGCACGTCGCGCCGCCGCTCGACTGAGGCCTGGCTGCGCTCCCCGCCGTTGAGAATGTTGAAGGAGGGGCCGCCGCAGGCCGGCGTCGGCGCGCTCGGCGAGTACAGGTAGGTGAGGGACGCGCCCGAAGGGAGGGCCGGCAGCTGCGGCGGCAGCTCCGCACCGCCCAGCCGCGCCGCCGCCGGCGCGGGCTCGAGCAGGCCGGTGCCGGGGCTCGACGGCGCCCCGAGCCGCGAGACGCGCCGAACCAGAGCCGCGACCCGCGACGAGGCGGCGGCCGGCGCCGCCGCCGGCGGGGCCGGCGGCGCTGGCGCTGGCGCCGCCGCGGACGGGCGCGTGCGCGGCGCCGCCTGCGGCTCCTCCGCCCGGGCGGGCTTGGGAGGGGTGGGTACCCAGAGCAGCTCCGCCGCCGGAGTGAGCGTGGCGTGCAGCTCGTGCGCCCCCTGCGTCGGAGGCCACGAGCCGAAGCCCGCCCAGCGCTGCGTGCCGAGGAAGCAGACCTGCACCGGCAGCGCGCGCTCGATGGCGGGCCTGCTGTCGACCCCACGCAGCGGCGGCCAAGCGCGGCCCGTCCCTCCCCACGCCGGGCCGCCGTCCCCCAGGTGCGCGTCGAAGGTGGAGAGGCCTGCGCGCACCGCGACCTGCAGCCCGCGCAGGGACGCCATCCCCCAGTGGTCGTGCGGCGTCACCGTCAGCCGGCAGGCGGGCTGCGCGCGCGAGGCGAGCTCGAAGTCGGCGAGCTGCGACGCGGCGAAAAAGTCGTGCCAGCCGGCGACGAGGTGGAGCGGCGGCGGAGGGCCGTCCGCGGCGGCGCGGCGGCCGGGACGCAGCTCACAGAGCGCGTCGCGGCCGCGCCAGAACTCGTCGTCCTCCTCCTCCGCCGCGACGGCCTGCTGGAGAGGTCCCATGGTCAGGGCTCGGGCTCGGGGTCGCGGCGGCCTGCTGGAAGAAGTGCCCGTCGCGTCTAGGAAGTGTCTGGGAAGTGTCTGTAGGAAGCCTGCTGGAAGAAGTCCCAGTCGCGGCCGAGCAGCAGCCGGTCGAGCGACGAGAGCGGGGAGATGTACTTTGCGCGCGACCACCAGGAGGAGGACCACATCTCGCGCGCGGCGCGCAGCATCTCGTCCGGCCGCCGCAGCAGCAGCAGCTGGAACACGAGCGTCACCCACAGCACGACCAGCTCCAGAGAGAAGGCGCCGCCCGGCTGGACCAGCACAGACCGCACGCGAGCCGTCGTGGCGACGGGCACCGCGGCCTGCAGCTCGCCCTCGCCGCAGGCGCCGACCGCGGCCCAGGCGGTGAGGCCGAGGTACGAGACGCCGAAGACGCCAACGCGGCCCGAGCACCACGGCTGCTCGCGCGCCCACCTCACCGTCGCGAGGCCGTCCTCCCGCTCGTGCTCGACAGGGACAAAGTCGCCATCGGAGCCGAAGCGGCCGCGCGTGTCCTGGAGGAGCACGGCGTAGCCCCGCTCCGCGAGCAGCACCTGCCCCCAGTCGGTGCGGTACGGCGAGCCGTACGGGTTGCGGATGATGACCGTCGGCAGCGGGCCCTTGACGCCCGACGGCAGCCAGAGCGTGGCGCGGAGGACGTCCTTGCCGCCGTTGACAGTGGCCGTCGCGAGCTCGCGCACCTCGACGCGGTGCGACGGCGGGTCGAGGCGCAGGGCGCGCGAGAAGCAGCGGCGCTCAAACGGGCCGGGACCGCCCAGGATTGGGCGCAGCAGCACCGCCGCCACCAGCCACAGATGGTCCGCCACCGCGGCGCGCGCCGACGACGCGCGCGAGAGCAGCGTCCGCCCCGGGCACTCGCGGAGGACGAGCGCCCACAGTGTGCGTAGGAGGTCCGGGAGGAGGTGGAGCATGATGCCAAGAGAGTTCTCTAGTTCGGCTGGGGCGTGAGCTCGCGGTGATCATGCCTGGTTTTCTTTTATTTTTCGAGACCGGCTCGTGCGACAGCCAGCCGCTCTGGAACAAGGCTCGCGCTGGGCGCGTACGGCCTCAATTCGCGCCATTCTTCTTTCTGCCTAGCCGCCCTGGACCGGCTGCACGCGTGCGCGAGCGGTGGACCGTTCGCGACGCTCGGCGGCTCCGCCACCGGCTCGCGACGCCTGCGCTTGGCGCTCAGGCGCGAAAGCGGCACATGTCTCCCTCTCTCGGCGCCGCATCTCGCCGCTTCCGAGGCCCCCACTCGTGCACGCGGAGTCGAGAGAGCCGTCCCCGCCGCGCAGGTCGTCTCGGGCGCGCGGAGTTTTGCCTCGGTCTTCCGGCGCGCTACTATTTCGAGGACGTGTATGTTGCCCGAGCCGCCACCGCCGCGTGGCGTGATTCGCCCTCGACGTGCCCGCGGACCGAACTCAATCTCGTTCGGATGGGTGGTGGGGCGAATCGCATTGTGCTCGGCCGAAGCTCGCGCTAATCTGCCGCGCGAGTGAGCCACGCCCTTTGCGCCGGTCTCCTCGACCAGGAGACCGCGACGCCGCGACGAAGGACCCGCGCTGGCCGAGGACAGCGCATCTCGGCCGCTGCTTACGCGTTCTGCTCTTTGACGGCACGGCAGGCTATTCGCCAGCCGACCCGGGGCTGCCGAGCCGCCCTCGGGCTTTCGCAACGGACATCACTCGCCCGCTTCTGCGCCCACCACGTCCCTCTCTGAGTCTATGAGCTGGGAGCTTGACGTACTGGGCGCCGGCGACTCGGGAGGCCGGCCTCCAGGGCGCACACTCACGACTCAGAGAGCGGAATGTCGGCGGTCAGCAGCGAGTCTCAGACCCCGAGACCGGCCGCCTGTCATGTTCATGACTTTCATGTGTGACATGTCGTCGGACGTCAGAGACAAAGACTCACGATATAACTGAGAGGCGATAACTGAGACGAACTCGGCCATTTTCAAATGTACTTACATAAACCTTTCCCGAGCGTCCGGTCATTGCGCACTCTCGACGAATTGGCGCACACGGCGGCGGCTGCGCACTATCCACGAGTGATGTGTCCAGGACGGGATGTGCGAGGTGTGACAGTGCGAGCGGCCCCGCGCTCTGCCCCTCCCGGTTTGGCAAACTGGCTCCACGGGCAAACGACCCGTCACCGCTCCTCGCAAGCTGCCACACTGCACCGCACTGGATTCTGTTCGCACAAACCTCCACGAGCAGGACTGCATCGCGCCGCATTTTGGCGTGGGAAGCTTCTGGGCAAGGGTGAGAAAAAGCGCGAGGAAGTACGAGACGGCGAATCAGCCTGGGGGGAATGACGCAGACGGACCGTGTCCGCAGTGTCAAGCAGGCTCGGGCCCAGCACCCCTTCCCACTCCAACTGTTTGTGATTTTCGCGAGCGAGCTCATTTTGTTGCCTACGCAACTGCGGCGAGAGAGGTGGAGAGAGCGCGAGGAACTTGACCGGAGCGAGGCCTCCGACGCGGCCGGTCACTGGCATCGCCTCTCTGGAGCCTCGACGCCGCTCGGCGGCACGGCAGCAGCAGGAGCACCGCCGAGCGCGGCCGCTCGCCGAGCGCGCCTCCGAGGCCGCCGCGGCAGCCGCGAGCGCGTCGAGGCCGGCTCGTACGCGACGGCGTCGCCCAGCTGGACGGCGCGGACCGGATGGACATCAAGAGCGGGTCGGGAGGAGGGCTCAGTATCGAGAACTGCAGGGCTGCAGCTGGCGAGCTCGGCGCCCTATGAGCTCGGCCTGTTCCAGCGCTGCACGAGCCGGCCGGACACCGCTTCTTCTTCGTCAAGCCCTGGTCGAAGGGCGACCAAGAAGGTAAGGGCGAGCCCCCGGGAGGCAAGGACTGCGCAGCCGGCATCGATGCTCACCACGCCGTGCAGCCTCCTGTCGGTCAAGGTCGATGCAACTGCCGGCACGACCGACAGTGGCGAGATCCTTGCGTTGACAAATTGCAAGGACCTTGCCGGCGCGACCGGCGAGGATGCGACTGGCGAGAATATCCTCGCTCGCGCTCTCGGCTCCCTAGCTGGCGATACGCGTCTCGCGCGTCGCCGACACGTGAGACGCCTCGCTACCATGTCGTGCGCGTGGCTGGTCCTCACTGCGGCGGCGCTCACAGTCCTCATGTCGCTGCTGCCCAACACCGCCGCCTTTGCCCTTGTCCTGTGGCAGCAGACTCGCTGGCGGGAAGGCTGTACGCCCTCGCCGCCGTGGCTAGACCGGCTGGTTGGAGAGAGCATTCAGGATACCATCTCCTTGATACCGTTTCCACAGCCAGTCCTCGACTACCTGCCGCCACCACGGCCTCGCGCCTGAGCACAACCTCGGCCACAACCTCCAGGCCCCCGTCCCTTCCAAGGCACTGCGCGCCTTTTCGGAGGTTCGCGTGCATGGCGTGATGCTCGAGTCGCTCGAGGTTGGCCGCTTCGAGATTGAGACCTGCTGGGAGCGCGGAGCGAGACGGCCGCCCTTGACCATCTCGATGGATGTCCACTTCGCAGCCCGCGCCGACTTTGACGCCGATGATGCATTCTTCAGCCTCTCCCTCGCCTCCGGCACGGCGCACGTCGAGGGGAAGGGCCGACTGACGCTCGAGGCCAACCCGGCCAACCTAGACCACCTCATCATCGCGTGCGCCGCGGCGTTTGACGACGACGACGTGACTGCGACGGTGGAGGGCCTGCACGGGCTCGCCTTCGACGCAAAGGCGATCCTCCACCAGCTCGTCGACTTCAACCAGGTGCTCTGCCACGGCCGAGCGCACGGCGCCGTCTACGAGTTTGACGGCGGCCGCCACTTTCGCGGTGTGCCCGCTGAGGTCAATGGGGTCCTGAATGCGCACGTTCCTTTCGTGCACCGAATGTTGGGCGCCGCGCTGCTGGTGCTGGTGCCAGTCTTTGCCGCCCTTGTCCTCGCCAGTCTCCGCAGCCTCGTCGGCGGGCGCTTTCCCGACTCTGGCGTCTCTCAGCAGCTCCCTCGCGGGACGGTGCCCCCAGCCTCGCGCTGCAAGACGTGGAACCGCGCCGCATTTTGCGCCGCCGCCGCGGCTTGCGTCGCCAGTCTCTTGGTTCTGCTCGGCTTGTTCTACTCCATGACTGAGGATGGGGGGAGGGCGGGATCGGATGAGAGGTGAGAGCTTTTCTTGAGGATGAGAGGTCAGTTTAGGTTCTGTGATAGGAATTAGTGAATGCGCCGGCCCCGCGCAGAAATGGCTGTGCGCGGTGTTTGTGTGTTTTTTCGGGTGTATGTGCACCACCGACAACAACGAACGTAGTTCATTCTCTTCTCACAAGGAAACTTTTTGGACGGTGTTATGTGAAACTGAAAGAGCTGGGAGCTCACGAGTCACGTTTAGACCTGCTTTTAGAGGGGCGGCTGTCTCGCGTTGCCTGCCTTGCACCAGCCTTGCACCGCGACCTTTGGCATCCCTGGCCTGGCCGGTTTTTTTCATCAGATTGACGCGCTATCTGGAGCGATCCAGATCAATCCAGCTATCTCGTTCTATCTCGTGCGATCTCGCGGCGATGTCGCCTATTCAAGCCCGTTTTTCTTTTCTTCTTCGCGCTGTGCGCGCATCTCGACAAGAGACGAAGAGACGTAGTCGACTTAGTCGTAGATCGTGCACTATATTATTACCTACCGCATATCATGCACTCTCTACAACACCGCGGCCCGAGACAATCCCGTCGCAATCACTGTACTCCGAGTATCTTTGTATCGCGTTCAGACGCCGCTCCACTAGCCGATCAACCGGCGTGCGCGCGGCGAGAGGGGGGGGCGGGGCGCCCGCCGCTGCGGCGGCGGCGCGCGGGGCGGGGGGGGTATCTGGCGCTATCTGGCGCTATCTGGCGCTATGGTATCTGGCGCTATCTGGCTATCTCGTTCTAACTCGTTCTATCTCGTTCTATTTCGTGTCGATCTGACAAAGAAACCGGCCAGACTAGGGCTCTTCCCTCTGGCGTTTTGCCCGCGACGGACTCTCTCTCTGTCTCTCTCTGTCTCCCTCTCCCTCCCCCCTTCTCTCTCTCTCTCTCTCTCTCTCTCTCTCTCTCTCTCTCTCTCTCTCTCTCTCTCTCTCTCTCTCTCTCTCTCTCTCTCTCTCTCTCTCTCTCTTAGTCTCTCTCCCCCCCTCCCCCCCCCGGCCCATCCCTGCACTCTGGCCCATCCCTCCCTCCGTTGAGTTATCTGGGCCAGTGTTCCGGGAGTTCTACTTTTGTACGAGCTGTCCCGTCGATAAACGCAGTATGGAAGATACAAAGAGACGGAGGAGCAACGAGCGCCCTGGCGTGAGCCAAAGACACTCCCAACTGCGCTCCGTCACCGGTGTCGCGGTCTCCCCCACCAGTCCCCCACTGAGGACGATCTGTGGGGGGGAGTCGCGCCGCCGGCATGTACCTGTGCATGTGTTTTTAGCCCCCCGCTACCCAGTCGCAGTCGTGCGACGTAGCGGGGGGCCACAACTACGTTTACGAACCCATAAGTAGTCCCGCGAGGTGTGAATTTGGCCGCCCCAGAAGCCCCCTTTCCAATTGGCGGAGGAGGCAGAGATGGAGGCCCCGGCGCGGTGGCGCAGGAGGTGGAAGCAGAGGGGGAAGCCGAGAGGGAACCGGCTACGCTCGAGGAGAGCGCGAGGCTGGAGCGCGAGGCGAGGCGCGCGGCGGTGAATAGCGACGGGGACTTGTTCTCTTGTTGGAGGCCAGCGTCGGCGTGCTGAGTAGGGAGAGCCTCGAGGAGCGGCTTGGCGCCGTTGAGCGGCCGATCGAGTTCGAGCCGTTGGAGGCGATGGAACCGCTGCAGCAGGCGGTGGCCGCCCTCACGGAGCTGGTAGACGAGGCTGCTCCGCCATCCACTCGACCCTCGGACATCCCCGAGGCCTTCCTCTGCCCGATCACCTTCGCGCTGATGGACGATCCGGTCGTGATGATGGACGGGATGACGTACGAGCGCCGCGCCATCGAGACGTGGTTGAGCAAAGGCCAAACGACCTCGCCGCTCACTGGTGCGGAGCTCCAGTCGACCGTGCTCATCTCCCAAACAACCTCGTGCGCAGCCAGATCCGGGAGTATCGGGCGCAGCAATAATAATTAATATTATATTCAATAATGTGACTGCTAATACAATAATGGAGAGTCTCTTGAGGTGGTGGAGTACGGTGCGGGTGTTGTTGTTTGTTGAATGCGGTTGATATTTTTTCTCCATGTGCCCTTGTGCAGTGCACGTCGAGTGAGAGAGATTTTTGAAGTGCTCGAAAGAAAACAGACAGCCCAAGGGAGGGATGGGAGGACGGCACGCCGCCACCACACAGGGATTTTAAGGAGCTAGCCGTCGCCCACCCTAACCCTTGGTCGTCTGCCTCTTTCTATCTCTCTTCGCGTCGAGTGCTCGAAAAAAAGAAAGAAAGAAAACAGACACGCCAAACGAGGGATGGGACGAGGACAGGGTCCCCACCTGCACGAGCAGGATTTTGGAAGGACGATCAGGGGGACAGGTGGGGCTCTCCTGCTCCTGACAAGGGACACGACAGGCTCGCAGCGCGGTGCACGGTGGGCTCCCAACTCCACTGGCGGTCTCATCTCAGTCTAGTGACCTGCCTCCAGCTTGTCGCTGGCAGTCTCTCCTACCACAGGCACACTGACACAGGGGTGGCAGGGGCGGCGGCACGAGTCTCCCACATACTATGCGGGCCTCACTAGAGGTGCGGCCTGTGCGTGTCCTCGCCCTTGAGGGGGGAGGGGAAGGGGCTGTGTGTCTGTGCATGTGTGTGTGTGTGTGTGTGTGTGTGTGTGTGTGTGTGTGTGTGTGTGTGTGTGTGTGTGTGTGTGTGTGTGTGTGTGTGTGTGTGTGTGTGTGTGTGTGCGTGCGTGCTCGAGTAGCCGGGAGAGATGTTGGAAGAAGTTTTTTATTTTTGGCGTCTCGGCTTTGTTATGTCTCTCGCTGTCTTCACCTCGCCGTCGACGCCCGAGCGCGGCGCTCGGATGGACGAGTGGCTAGGCGCGGGCGGCAGCGGCTGGTGCCACGTGCGGCTGCCTCCGATTCACCCGGAATCATTTGACGTCGAGGTGCGCCCGATCTCACACAGCCGCCCCGACCGACTGCGCACTGCTCTACCCATCCTCACACCCACCATCGGCCGCACGCGCAGTGGAACGACGCCGCCGAGGGCCGGCTTGCGCCGGTGCGCGTGCTCAACCGGACCTCTCGTGCGCGGCTGATCACGATGCAGCCGCCGTGGGGGCGGCTCGACCGCGACGCAGAGGGAGGCATCGGCTCGGCGCACAAGGTGGCGTGCACGATGTACCACGTGCTCGCACTCGAGTGCTTTGCCGCGCGCTGCCACCCCTGCGTGGCACACGCCCGCTTCGCAGCCGTCTTCGAGGACGACGCCGTGTTTGTGCCCGGCACGTCGCCCGGCACTGCGGCGGGCTTTCCCGCGCTCGCCGCCGCCGCCGCCGCCGCTGCCTTTGACGCGCACGGCGTGAACAAGCTGCACCTCGCCGTCCAAAAGGTCAAGGCCGAGGGGCGCAACGGTGCCGCCACCTAGAACACCTCGCCCGGCGCACACGACACCGGGCGGCCACTCCTCGCCGGCCCGCGCTTCGACCGCCCCATCTTCCTGCGCGCCCCTCGCGGCACGCAGGCTCGCCCAACGCGTGCACGCGGCTGCTCGAGACGACGAGCTTCGCGGGCGGCGCGCGGCTGCTCCGCTGCCCGAAGTTCTCCGACTCGCACGCGTATGTCATCGAGCACTCGCAGGCGGTGCGGGTGGTGACGGCGTACCGCCTGCTGCTCGAGCGGGACGGGAGGGCCTCAGGCGAGACTTATTTGAGGCGAGAGAGGCCTATGGAGAGGGCCTCGCGCGACACCCCCTCCCCCCTCGACTCCCCCCAGAGGAGGTCATGGCCCCGAGGGATGGCGCGAGAGATGGCCATGACCATCGGCCGTGACTGCAGATCGCCAGCAGTCCATCACCAGTCCCAGTCCCGTGACGGCCCCCTCACCCCTAGACCCTCCCTCCCCCTCCCTCCCCGCCCCTCAGGCGAGTGCGTCAACCCGTGGTACGGCGATGGCTGCGCGACCGACCCAGGCGCCGCCGGGCATGCGCACGCGGGACGCGTCCGGACGTGTCGTTGACATGTCGCCTTGGCCCCCACAGGCGTCCTCGCCGCCTACTTCAAGCAGTGCGACCAGCTCAAAGGGTGCACACACCCGCCGCCCCCCCCCTCCGGCCACACAACGTCGGGCGGTGCGCCACAAGCACGCGGCACGACTGGTGTGTAGGCGCAGGCGGTCGAATGGCTCCTGTCGTGGCGCCCTGCTCGCCTCGGCTGGCGACACCTGGTCGCTGCGGCACGAGAAGAAGCAAAAGTACCGCGTTGGCCTCGCGTCCACCGGCACCAACGTGAACGTCTACCCGGCGATCGTCCGGCTGCGAGCGGCCGTTTCGAACGAGACATTTCTGGCGGAGGCGAGGCGCGCGGGCCATGCGCTCGCGGGCCGGGGCGCGAGGTCGCAGTGATGTTTTGATATCCTCCTTGCTGTGTGGTCGTGTGACTCGTATGTCATTGGAGGTCTCTCGGTCTCGCGTCTCTCGGGTCTCGGGAGGGCGGAGGGCAGGGCGAATCCGCAAGACTGCATGAGTTCGCGTGCAAGCTGCAAGCCTACACGGCCACCGGCCTTGCGTGCGTATGGACTTGGGAGGAGCCCAACTCCATTTTCCCCCCGTACGCACCAACCTCCTGGGCAGTACACTCTCCCGCAGCAGCAGACACCGTCTGTCGGTAATAATAATAGCACCTTCCATCCCTTTCCACGGACCCCCCTCACCACCCGCACCCCACGCTCGCCGACGCGACGGCAAGCACCACAGGACAGGCCACGATCGCCGCCACCTTGAATCGCGGCACATCGATCACGTGGTGCCTCCGGTGAGCGGCCAGGAATTCACCGTGGAGGTGGGCCTCATCGGGCGGTGCAGGTGGGCCCGCGAAGCGCGCTCGCTTGAGCTGGAGGTCGATGCTCTGGTGCTCTGCGTTTTCATCCTCGAACGTCGGCGGTAGTCTGCGCCTCAGTGCAGCGGCTCGGTCAGCAGCGAGCCGGCGGACCAATCGGCGATAGCGCTGCTCATGCTGCAGGATCTCAATGGGAGTTGCTGGCCGAATCTGGGCGGCCCACGCGCAGGTGGGAACAGGCCCCGCGCTCTCGTCCGCCTTGTCGTCCTCTTCTTCGAACCGGAAGATGGTGTGGGCGGACATGAGTACTGGCACCTCGGCCGCACCCCGGCCGCACCTCGAGTGCTCAACGACCTGGGGAGCGACCTCTGAGAGGTCTGAGAGGATGTGGTACACAGATAGCCGTAGTAGGAGCAGTCAGCAGAGGGAGGGAGGGAGAGGTGTGCTCAGAGGGTGGCAGTCCTTCTCGATACAGGCGCTGGACGATTGCTGTAAACGACACACCGGGAGGGCGACGGTGATGACTTGGCGGACATGCGCACATGTTGTAGTAGCTAGCTGCAGCCTAGCAAGCACCCACACCCCTGTAGCTGGTGTAAGTGTACCCACCCCCTGTATGTACGACTTCTCTGTCTCTCGAGTGCATGGCGGGCGAGAAGCGAGCAAGAGGCCACCGGCGGCCTCGGCTCAGCGCAATGAACGGCGGCCATCGCGGCCGTTGGCGACGGCGTTGGTCGGCGCAACGGTCCCGGGTAGTGGGCCGCCAGCCTCGCCCTCGTGTGACGCCGGCTTCCTCCTCTGCCCATAGCGATCCTGCTCGAGTCGTTCCTATTCGCAGCAGGTGGGGGCGTGTCAGCGCCGACTCATCCGAGGGGTGGACTGATGCCCCCCATAGAGCACGCACCATGACAAACGCGGAGAAGGTTACATGGCCCGAGTCCCCTGAGGTCGAGAGTGGGGCCTGTGGTGGGCACTCCAATGGGACGATGGTGGTGAGGTGAGTGAGGGCGTGGCGGCGCACAGCACTCGTAGCCATCCGGTAGCTGGTTGCACGCGGGGTAGAAGAAGCTCTGAGTCGCAAAGAGAAGGAGCAGGATCAACTGCGCCGCCGCGAGGGGGGCGCGATCAGCAAGAGCCAGCCAATGGTCTTCCCTCGCAGAGTGGGGCATTCGTCACCCGAAAGTAGGCCTTGATGAGGCCCGTCGACAGGTACCACATCTCAATCACAAAAAGCGCCGGCCCGCTGCTACACCGCTGGCACAGCGGCGTGATGAGCGGCGCGACAAAGAGCAAGTAGAACGCCAGTGCTGCAAGCGCGCTGCAAAAGGAACGCCGCAGCGTGGCGGCCCACGGCCAATCGTACCAAAGACACGCGAAGCCAACCCCATTCATCGTGCCAAAGCCACACATCAGCATTAGGCCGAAGAAGTTGTACGCCACGATGGACGAGACGAGACGCACCGCGTCGGGGCGGAATAGCGGGAAGCGCAGCTGCGCCGGGCTCGCGCGGTCAAAGAACTCGTACAAGCTGGCGTACGTGCGGAAGGTGTCGATGACGCCGTGCAGGGTGAGCCCCACCCCAAATATGGCGCCTGTGGCGAGGCCGTACGACGCACTGGACAGGGTCGGCTTGACGAGGCTCTTGAACGCGGGCAGGAATGTCTGCACGATCCACTCGAGATGCTGCACGGCCGCCCTGCAGAGAAGAAGAGGCGCGCGATTGAGCGATACGTGGAGTCTGAGGGGAGAGTGTAGATGGGCTGGCTCACTGGCAACCGATGATGAGACCGCCGCCACGTGCGTCAAGGCCGGCTTGCAGTTCTTCCCTCAAAGCCTCGGCGCCTGTAAGAAAAGGGGCCTCGCCGGTAGCGCCACGGTGTCGCATGGCCCTTGGAATGTGCGGGCGCGCGGAGACCTTCAGCGAGCTGCTCGGCCATGCTTTCGGCATGGTTAACCGGCCCACGCAACACGACAGTCGCGACGACGACGTTGAGTAGTATCGCGATTGCCGCGGCTACGAGCAGCATGACCGGGAGCTCCATCTCTTGCGGTATTCCGATGAGGCGCGCGGCAAAGCGACGCACAACCTCGGCCCCCGATTTGACCCTCTTGGTCAGGCGGCGCCAGCGCGACTCCCTGCTGCTGGAGGAAGCGTTGCAGAGCGCGCTGCAAACCGTGGCGACAAAGCTAAAGACATAGAGGACGAACATCGCCATGTAGGCCAGGCGCACGAGCGACGCCACACCCACAATTATGAGGTCGTATATCTCCGCTTGCCCCACGGTCTTCGGGGCCAGATGCTCTCGCTGAACAGCCCTCATTTCTCGCCGGGTAGCCCTCTGCGTATGCACGTTGCGAGCAAAGGGGCTGGCCACAAAGACATCGAGGAGGCTCTTGTCGAGAGCGGCGACTGCGTACACGGTGACGCAGATGGAGATCAACAGCCAGCACGGGCCGGCGCCGCTCACGTTTCCCAGCGAGAGGAGCCACACCATAAAGGCGTATCCGCCCCACATCAGCGGCTGCAGCACGAGCCGGCCGAGAAGTGGAGGGTCCTCGTCGTACCACGAGTGCGAAAGTCCAAGCAGGCGCTGCGCCAGGAGGTCGTCGATTAGCGTTCGTGCCTGAGGCGGGGGTGGGCCGGCATGACACGGGGTGCATCATCTGATCCTCCGTTTAGCGCTCCCACACCGGAAGCATCAGCGGGTCGATGTGGCACGGACCGCCGTCGCACTCGATGGCGAACGCAAACTCCATCGCCTATGGTCAAGCCATGCATCTGACGAACCGCGCGACGCCTGGTGGGGGGCACTTGCGCAAGCCTGTGTCATGGCCGTGAGCCCAACCAGCAGCGCAATAGCCCTCGATCGCACGTGCTGGCCTCGGAAGTGCCCCGCTTCGCCGAGCACGTGCCACACGCCTCGCTCGGCACGGGCTTGCGCCTATGCGGTTCGCTTGGTGCACTGTTGTGCGACGTGAAGCTCGTCGCCTGCTGAGACGGCGTGAGCGACCCGCGGAAGGATGAAGGTCCGAGTTGGCCCAGCGTAGGGTGATGGAGGAGGGACAGAAACGGCCATCACCCGGGGTCGGACTTGCGTTGTCGCCACAGCAGCCACACCGCTCTTCTGCTTGGACAACGTTGCCCACGAAATCGCAGGGCCATCGTACACAGAAATTTCTCGCGGCCGCTCCCACACGTCGTCCGCTCGCGAGCGAAAGCCGCGGATTGCCAGATCCAAAGGCATGCGCACAAGGGGGGCGTGTGGCGGCGCGAAGTACAGCGCCGGGTCCTCAGTGTGCATATTGCCTCGGGCCAGGAGCCGCTGGAATGGCTGTTCGGCCAGCGACCCGTCGCCGAAGTTGCCACGCAGCATGATACCCGTGAAGTAGGGGCCCGCCCACCAGCGCTCTCGCCCAATGCTCCAGCCGAAACCGGCGACAAAGGCAAAGTAGACGAGCAGGTACACGGAGAACATCAGGAAAAAGACGAGCGTGAAGCGGATACCGTCGCCGGTGTACATAGAGTGCACCGGCGGAGCTGGTGGAGGCGGTGGTTTGTTAGTGACGAGCACGGTGAAATTCCCAGCGAAATTCCCAGGACTTGATGCCTTGCCGGCCATGACCATGTCGACATACTCCTCGAGCTTCGCCACGATTTCTGGCGGGAGGTCGGGCGGGAGGGAAGAGGCGCCCGCTTTATCCGCGGATTTGAGACCGACTGCGTCTCCCAACCAAGAAAGATATTTTCGCAGCAGCAGGTTCTTTGTCATGGCGGTGGCCTGAGCACATGGCAATAGCGTGTCGATGCTGACTCAGTCTAGCGGTGTGAGAGCGCGCGCGGCAGCATGCCAAGTTTTCGGGCGTGAGTGCACCAGCCGTCAGCTCGTTGAGTGCGTTCAGCTCGTTGAGAGGGTTGATCGCGTTGAGAGGGTTCAGCGCATTGAGTGTGCTGACAGGATCGAGCTTGTTGCCGTCGAGCTCCCAGCCGGTGGCTCCGCGCATCAACAAGATCGGTGTTGCGGCTCCATGGCTCAGCCCATCTTGCACCAGCCAGTCGGCAAACTCTTTCACAGCGTCCTGAGCCTCGGTGCTATTCTCGTTGAAGTTGACCTCCAAGGAGAAATTTTCGAGCAGGCCGAGGCACGACCTGTAGTTCGTCGGCCCTGGCCACACTGCAAGGGATGGCGCAGCCCGTCCGTGTTCGTAAAGCACAATCGGCAGCACGAGGATGATGAGGGAGAGAAAGGTGGGAACGCACAGCCATTCGTAGCCTCGTTTGCGATCGCGGCGGCCGCTCTCGCGATCAGCGGCCGCCTCGTCACCCTCTGCAACAGCGCCGCCAGCGCGGACGGTCGACATACAGCACATGCCGCCTTTTCTTTTTGTAAATTCCTTTTCCCTTCTACCGTACAGCGCGTCGTGCGTACAGCTACTGTGGCTCCCCCATCAGGGACGTAACTGCGGCCAGAAACTGTTCAGAAACAATCAGCGATGACCACTCTTGATGGCGATATCAGAGGCGAGACCCCCTAGAGGGCTGGGAGGGCCCCCTGCCTGTGTGTGCACACCGCGGGTCCCCAAGGGTGAACCCGTGTTGCATGTCTGACTGTCACTGTGCGATTTCGGGGCCC